AAATTGGCCACAGGGGATTGAGAGCAGTGTGAGGTAAGAGGTCTGGCCTTGAAGGATGACAACAAAAGTGTCCTCTTCAAAAGCATGAAAGATGGGTGAGTAAGAAGGGGCTAAGGAGGCCAGGTGAGGGGTCATGACAGTGATGTGCTCTGACACTGAAGTAGTGTGGGCAGCGGGAACAGAGAGAAAAAAGGGGATATGTGACACGAAGGAGGGCTGAAAGGATCTGGAGCCTTTGATCGGGAGGGTACAGAGCAGGAAGAGGGCAGGTTACAAGAGATGAGATTCGTGTCTGGGTTGCCGATGGCAAGATGGGCTGGTGACACAAGAAAGGGATGCTGGTAAGGGATCTGGCTTAAGAAAGACGTCTAGGATATCCATTTGGTAATGACTTTGCGAGAAGTATATAGACACGGGTATGGAGTTGAGGCTAGACCTCAGGGTTGAATACACAGACTTTGGAGGGAATACGGTTGATAAAGATGTCATGAGAACAACCTGGCAAAAGAATACTGGAGAGCAGTGGGCAGCCAGTCCAGGTGCAGAGAAGGACAAAGGGGATGGAGCAGGAGTGATCAGAAAGCATTTGGGCAAAACTGGGAGAAGATGATGCATTAAGGGAGAGGTGAGAGACATCGGGCACGCAGTCAGGCTGGGATAGTGGAGAGGGTGTCAAAGACATTCTCAGGCGCCCATTCTGAAAACCAGCCTCCTGAATAATAAAAATGGAATATTTAGTTAGAAGGGAACTTAGAGACCACCTAGCTCAAACTATTCATTTTAAAGTTGAGGACATGTAGGCCCAGAAAGTTACCAGAGTTTTCCATAGAGAAGAAACAAAGGGATAAAGAAGAAACAAAGAGATAAAGAGACCAAAAGGTGGGGTGCCTGGGTGGCTCAGTGGGTTAAAGCCTCTGCTTTAGCTCAGGTCATCCCAAGGTCCTGGGATTGAGCCCCACATTGGGCCCTCTGCTCCGTGGGGAGCCTGCTTCCTCCTCTCTGACTGCCTCTCTGCCTACTTGTGATCTCTGTCTGTCAAATAAATAAATAAAATCTTAAAAAAAAGAGACCAAAAGGTCCTTGCCCATGGTGACAGAGCTGGGAACATGGAGAAGCCAGGACCGAAAGCCAGTTGTCTTCTTTTTTATTATTGTAAAGTTCATTTATGCTTTCCAACATACTTTATATACCAATGATCGGAATTTCTGAAATCAGGTAATCCTCTTGTGTCATAAAATCCACAGTTACAGAGAAATACGAAATAGAGAGGTCACTTCTCTGATTCATAGGGTGAAGTTCTCTTCTCTAGAGCTCTGTGTTCTCTCTGAAATCTCTCTGCTTTTTAGCGTTGATGTACTGCTGCTGCGAGGAGCAGCTCCAATAGGGACCAGGATGGTGACCCCGAGAATACAGCACAGATGAGATGGGGAATGGGATTCCTGAAGGTTCAGAGGACAAGATGGTCAGTCCCCACAGTGAACTGGCCATCTGGAGGATCAAGGAAGATGAACTCAGACTTAAGACCTGGTAAGGTCATTAGATCACACAACTGGGCCGCCCACATGACCAACGGCCCAGGCAGGTCCCCATTAGACACTGTGTGTATCCATCTGTCCCTCAACCTCCAGTGCTCAGGAGTTTGTGCCTCTGCCAGCAGAAGGACACACACTCCAACATTTTCCAAAGGATAATGAGCAAGACCATTTAAATAGAGTCCACTTAGATGTAACTTTGTTGTGCTATTTTAGGGTTATGTGGAAATCCAGATCATTTCCGGCTGCTTCTGACCTGTCTTCAGATCTCTTACCAGCATTAAGAGAATTTGTCTACGGGCAGCTGGGTGATTCAGCTGGTTAAGCATTGGGTGCCCTGCTCAGTGGGAAGTCTGCTTCTCCCTCTCCTTCTGCCCTGCCCCCCGCCCTGCTCGTGCTTGCCTGCTCTCTCAAATAAATAAATAAAATCTTAAAAAAAAAAAAAAAAGTATTTGTCTAATGGGTCTGTCCAGGCATATGCTCACCGAGCAATGGCTCGTTTTCTCCTGTGTGCTCTGTAGTCTCTTCTTAGCCAATGTAAAGTTCATTGGAAAAATCTTTTCTGCCCATTATCTTGATGCTGCTCTCAGTGGGCATCTCTGTAAGGTTAGTGGCACAGAAGAGGCTATGTTAAAACAGGTTTAGGGCAGAGGAGAAGGCGATGGATTCTGGACCCAGGGTCAAGGGTGCGGCTCAGCCGCTTATCTGAAGTGGACCCAGGAGAGAACAGCAGTGGCAGCTCCAACAACGGAAACGTGAGGCCAGCACTTGGAACAAATTGGAACAAAATATGCTCAGGAAATGTTTCCAAATACAAAGAGTTATGTTAGATGAGCTCCAAGAAAAGCTTTTGAACTCTGAGTGGTGAGATCCTTGCAAAACAAAGAAATTTGATAAATCTTGTACACAAGTCAGAAATGGGAATGAAAGTAAAATACAGGCTTATCAACCACCTCCACCACAACCACAATACCGGGGGATGTGACTGCCCCCCCCCCAAAAGTGACTGACACAGGAACAGGTCTGACGGGTAACCATTTCCAGGAAGGGAAGTTTCAACAAGGCAACCAGTAGCCTGGCTTACCAGATCCCAAATCAGGGTGACTGAGGTTTTTTAAAAGGGATGCTATTAATCCAAATTAATAGCAAGGGGAAAGGAAATGAGAATGGAACAAACTTGCTGACTGCACATGATGCTCAGAGCAGAAAACACCATGCTGGCCACTTTTGGGCTCACCTCATTTGATCCTCATAACAATTCTAATGAGGTGAGTGCCAAGCTCATTCTACAGCTAATACAGAATGTTCCAAGATGTTCTTAAAAACTAGGTAATGTGCCTAAAGTCACAATGCCAGTAAGTGGAGGAGTGAGTATTTCACCTGGGACTGTGATTTGAACCATTCACTTGACAGATATTTACAGAGAAGCCGCCACATAAGATGCCACTATTGCAGATGAAGGAGATCCAGTAAGGACTTGAGTCTCTGCCTTCAAGAATTTAATTCTAGTGTATCTGTACTTCAAGGCTGCATTATATCCAACTCAGGGTCACGAAGAGGAAAGATAAGGGACTCAGTGACCTCAAGAATTCGAATGTTTATTCACCTACGGGAAAGCGGAACTACATACGCACTTGGGAGTTTACCAGCATTCATTATTCTGACCTACGTACGACTTAGACACACAACTACAACTTCAGTGCATGATATGAAAGCTGGCACACCAGCCAATGGTAACTGGATACAAAATGTGCCCAGACCAAAGAAGACGCAACCAGTAGAAGTTCCATTAATATCACTAAAGAATCACTTGAGGAAGTAAAAGTTGTAAGAGGAAGTAGAAAGGTCTGTGTACTCCAGCCAATAAAGTTGAGACTTTCTTAACTATTTGCTGAATGCAAAATAATCTCATCAGTGAAAGAAAAATATCTGGGAGAACATTCTAAAAAATGACTCAAAGCTCTAATCAGAGAGAAATTTAAAAAATAAATAAATAAAGTTTCCCTTGAAGAGTAAAAGAATATTCCCCAACCTACTAATCTGCCATTAATGGAACTCAACAGAGAATAAATGAGTAATCCAGCCACTGGGGTAACAAGACAAGTACTGTCTAAGCAAAATGGCTTAGCGAGCTATGTGGCAAAGCGTCAGAAGAACAGGTAGGATTCTTAACCTATGGACTAGACCCACTAGGCAGACAAAGAGGGCCCTTCCATAAACCCACCCAGGCCAACTCATGCAGGAATCAGCCGGCTAGTGGTGGACGCCATTCAAGTCAGATAGAACCAGTGCAATGTCAACTTGTCCGCACAGTGCGCTCCATCCAGAGGACAAAAACATGGGAAACAGAGGGAGATGGAATTTTCTATGTCAGATTGTTTGGATCCTAATTGATGTCATTGCTCTCTCTACCTTCATTTCCTTCTTGCCCACCCTCTGTGAAAGGAGGCACAGGGTAAGGGAGAGGCGGACCCACACTAACGAGGCAAAGTGTTTGAGAGACTGGAGGCCCACCCACCCTTCCAGGACAAGAGTTGGAAAACACAGGTTTACAAATGTGGCAAAATGGTAATGACTGGTGAATCCCGTTGTGGGTTTCACTGCACTACTCTTTCAACTTTTCTGCACACTTGACATTTTCCTAAAAAAAAAAAAAAAGTTTGAGCCAACGAAAAGAAAAAAAGCATGCAGCTTCAAAGAGACTGCAATGGAGAGGGATGAAAACTGTACCAGCTCCCATGTCTACGGGCAAACACTCAGTGGTAAGCTCTGGATAACTTTAAACTTTAAATCTTAAACTATCAACTTGTACCAACAACCCTGGAGATCAAAAAAAAAAGGAGGCTTGGTCAGGCCCTCTCTCATGTCTGATCATCTGTCTCTCAGCTGGGGCCATGTGCTGACCAGTGGAGATCGTCCTCTATGCTCCCTCCCAGAGCAGGCACCAGGGTCCAGAAGACTGCATCTGAGTTCTGTGACCTGAGGTCACTCTTTTCCCCAGTGTTCTCAGAGACAGTGGCAGACACCCTTGTCTGAGGACAGTAATGGCACCAAAGGATTAAATGGGAGCAATGTTTCCTATGCCTATAATTGGAAAAAGAACTGCCAACGTGGAAGTGGAAAAATAAGTTGCCAAGGGACGAAATTCATTCAGATGACAACCTATTCCATTGCTGGCCATTCCAGGAAAATAGGGAGTGGAGCTTTTTAATGGGAAGGAAATCTGTTATTCTATATACACCATAATTCACTTCATGACTTAATCCGGAAGGAAGGGAAATCTATTTGAGTTCAGCACCTGCCTGACTAGTCCCCTGTTGACCTCCCCACTCCGTCTGCGCCCCCTCCATCCCTCCCTCTGTAAGGAACAGAGGACCAAAATAGCTCCCGTCTGTGCTCCGCCAGGACTCACAGGCACACCACACTCTCCCCAGAGGGCACGGCCCCACCTCCAGGGCTGGGATTTACCAATGTCACTCAGCAAGGTAAGGATGGGTCCTTCCCGAAGGCCACAGCAGTTCTCAAACTGGTTCAGGTACTGTCAAGAAGGTGAAAAGCAGCATCAGAGTGAGCGGTCCCCGGCCACCAACAAGCCCATAGTGTGTTTTCCCAGCTGAAGTCATCTGGGGGCTCACCCTAGGCCCCGGCTCTGGGGACCTGGGCTAACAGGTGGCCTGCATAGCAGGACTGGCAGGAATTGGCCCAAGGCGGAGGAGGAGGAAGCGGTAGTGAGAACGCCCAGAAGCGCTCAGGCACTCACAGGTGAGGTGTCTGAGTCATTCTAAGAGGAGGGCTTTTTAGGCTCACCTGGGCTGCCGTTCTGAGGGAGGCAGGCCAGAGGCCTCGCTCCGCCACAGGGGGACTGCTGCTCCTGAGAGTCCCACGGAGGGCGGGGTGGAAGGCACTCAGTAAACGCCACGCTCTGACCACTCCCCCAGCATGGCCAGTGGGATGATGATGGGGGAGTACTTAATGAGTGCTTACTACGTGCTTGGGACCCAGCAAACCTCTGCACAGTTTAGCTCAGTGAAGCTCTACCTACATAGAGGCTGAGCTCCCACCGCCACCAAGGGAGGTCGGCATCTGCACCTCACAGGTGAGGAGCCCGAGACCGGACGGCTTCCATGAGGCCTGCTCACACGGCCACTCCAGCGCGGCCCTGGGATATGCAGCTGAGGTCTGAGCTCAAACACTCGCCCTCTCTGCCCTCCCAGCCCCGGCTCAGTCCACGGCTGGCGGCTGGCCTCAAATGAAAACAATGGAGAAGATAACTTCCCAGCTGAGGTTTATAGTCATTAAGGAACATTTATATTCAAGAACACTGAAGAGCCCGTTTCGTGAGCTGGGCATACAGACTTCACTCTTTTCACAGGTTTTGGCTTCTACCTTTGCTCGAGCGCTGGCCTAGCTGGTCCCTTGGTGCCCAGGGGAGGAGGCTTTGAACTCTTGAGAGGAGGGAAAGATAGGCTCCCTCATTTGGAGAACAGAGGTCCCAGGCACTGTGGGCAGCGGTGCCCTCCCTGCGCTACCCACCCTACCCCTCGCCATGGGGGGCCGGCCCTACGGACAGAGGCCCCTCAGAGTGCAAGGGCTTCCTGCCTCCCCCAGGTCATCCTGTGCCCCGTGGCAGGTCAGTCATGCTACAGTGTGCGTCACCTTCTTCCCTGGCTGACTTGGCTCTTTGCTGCCTGCAAGATCAAGTCTCAAGTTCTCTGCCGGGCTTCTGAGCCCTCCGTAATCAGGTCACATCCCACCAACTCCCATGCTGCCCTCCAAGAACCACCCATTCCACTGCAACAACATGACGCTATCTCCCATTTTAAAGAACCACATTCAGTAATTGGATGGTTGTCAAAGGTTAGGAAAATAAAGAGGAAAAGCGAAGCATTATCAACTTCCCCATTTCTCATCCGTTATCAGTCCCCAGCTTGTCGGTCATGCCAATGACTGTTCACATCCTGCTGTGCCACTCCTGCGACCTGCCTAGCTCCCGTGGCAGGAGAAAGCCACTCAGGCAGAAGAACCCTTGTGGAAAGTTTCCTCTACAAAAAGAAAGCGGAAGGGGCCAGAATAGTAATGGAAACAGCACACGAAGCTAGGTCCAAGAAACTGCCATGTCAAGACAGAAGTGCCTGGGTATCCTGCTTCCCAACCCCCGACCCCCCCTTAATACCGTGACCCTTCTAGAGTGAAGAGTTCGGGAGATGTGCACTAAGAGCAACCTCTTTTTCAACACAAAAACAACTTCGCCGTCCAGAGACAACTTTTATTTTGCTTCCTCCTATGTGGCATTCTTCAGCGTCCTGGGTGGAGAGGGGGCCTGCAGTCGGCGTCCCGTGGGCTGTGACCCAAGCTCTTATACACTGCAGCTGCACCAGGCCTGGTAACTCGCCTCACCAGCCTGGGCCATGGTCTACAGCCTTCACGTGGTACCAGCATCACAGGGATGTGGAAAATCCAACAAGGCCAAGTACGAAAGCAGGCTGTATAAATGCGTTGGAGGCCACGCTAGGGAGGGAGCCAGGCACGACCGTCTCTGAGACAAGGAAGGGCTGCAGGCACCGACCCTGCAGGACGTGCTCTGGTAAGGAGAAGTAAACGCACTAGAGGGATGAACCGCCAGATGGTGAGTCAGTGGTGGCTCTGGAACATCAGCCCAGTTCCCTGCTTACTAAGCCGGCTCCCTTCCTGCTCCACTCTGTGACCCTGTCTGCAGTGGGGCCACATCTGGGGGACAGAACCCCTCCCCATAAGCACAGTGGTGACGTGTACGCTGAAGGATGGCGGTGGCCCTAACATGCCCAGGGAAAGAAAGTTTGTTTTGGAACTGGTCCAGTCTTTCCCCATCCTCCAAACCTGGTGACTTTTTCTTGTCATTTCAGGAATCACCGTGCAGGACATACATTCAGAGAGCCCCTCCCTGACTTTCCCGTAAGAGCTTCTGATTCAGTCCCTTGATTCACATCACGCACATCACCCCACCCTGAGCACAGAAGAGGGGCATCTGGGAAGGAAAAGCAAGCCCGCACCATGGCTGCCCGAGCTTCCTGACAAGGAAGGGGGCAAAGTCATCCCCGCTGCTCCCTGCCCAGACGGGCTGCACCCAGCCACCCTGCTCCCAGCCACCCCGGAAGCCTCACCTTGCGGAGATCTCCTCCCTGGCAGTACTCCATGGCCAGCAGGGGCAAGTCATTGGGAGCCAAGCTCTGCATCCCCTCGGGGACGTCCCGGGCAGCAACCACATTGGGGTGGTTCAGCCTAGGAAGGAGACAGCAGTGAGGGAAAAACCCAGGCTCTGGCTCAAACCTGCTCCCTGCTCCCTGCTCCGTCCGTGTCTCAGCAAAGCTTTACAACAAAGGCCCGGACTAGCCGAGGTCAGTCCTAGCGGAGGTCAGGCACGGACTAGTCACCTCGGCGCTGGGTCCGTTAGCATTCACCCAGCTCTACTTTCAGCACCGTGAGCTCAAGGACTGTGAGGGCCTCAGGTGCAACTAAATTTTCTTTAGAGTGCCCCATACCAAGTCCTCACTGAACTTCAAAACTGCTCTGAAAAGCACAGAAAGTAGAAGGACTTCCAACCTCAGGCCATTCAAGCAGGGATGGGGTGTGTGTGTGTGCATGTGCGCGCGTGTGGAAACAAGGCGATGTCTCTTAAGAAGTTCACGAAGGGAGCACCTGTTTGAGGCCTTAGAACAACTAGGTTGCTAAATGCTTACCTAAACCCCTCACTACCTGGGAGGACAGTGCCCATCCAGGGCCTGACAGACCACCCCTGTCCCCACACTGGGGGAGTAAGTATCTGTCATCAGTTCACAGCAGTGGAGAGCCACACAACGCCTTGGTACCGGAAATACAGGGAAAAAGAGCATCTCTGCCATGACAAAGATAAAGTCACGGTGATGGCTATTTTAAATTATTTAATATAAGAAATAAAACTGAGCAAAAGCCCTCGAGAAAGCCCAGAGTTGGACCCTAAGGGCCATTCCTCTACAAGTCATCTGTTAACCCTGATTGAGCTCAGGACTGAGATTTATGACTTTTCCAGATGCAGCAGGTGCGACTGTCGCTCCAGATCCCGAAGCTCAGAGGGCTTCCCTCCACTTCACAGCAGTGTCCCAAGGCCCCTCAGCTCCCGCAGTCTCCTCGTCCCCCTGCAGTGACGGGCCTTCACCTTCTCATGATCTGGATCTCCAGGCACCACCGCTCTCGATTCCGGGGGCTGAGCTCCTGCCGGCACTGCTTGATAGCAATCTGCTCACCTGTTTCCTGCAGAGAGAGCACGCACAGGGAGGGGATGAGCAGAACTCACGACCAAGCCCACCGAGAAAGCCAGGGGTCGAATACGAAATTGTCTCCTTAGGGCCTAAAGCATGGATCGTGGGACCTCCGGGATCCTGAGGCCCACTTATGTATCCTCTGATAGATGTCCCCAAGTCACTTGCCAGCCTCTGAGGCTGGCCTCCACACCCCCACCTCCTCCTGGACTTTCCCCCTTCTAGCCAACCAGAGTCTACACCAACGCCTTGTTTGGTTTCCACCTCCTCCGTGAAACCTCTGCTCACCACTCCTGCCGAAGAGATCTCTCACTTCTCTGAGCCCCGGCTGCTAGACAGAACCACAGGACACTGCCGGTATTGACCAGTCTGACCTGATGACACTTGCCATCAATGGCACTTGCCTGTGATTCAACCTACCAGTTGCTGCCACACTGCCTTCATAGATCACGCAAGAGTTTCGTCTCTCTAGAGAGAAGGCAAACCTAGCATAGTAGCTAGAACACGGAGGATGATTCAATTTAGCGTTTACTAGCTCTGTGACCTGGGGCAGAGCATTTGGTCGGACTCAGTTTCTTCATCTGTAAAATAAGAATGCCTACAATCACCTTTCGGGGCTATCCTGAAGCTCAGCAGCCAGCAGTGTCCAGCCCTTAGCAGGTGTTCAGTAACACTGCGGAGAGCAGAGCAGACCCAGGTCACGCAAGAAGCCCGGCGTTAAGATCCCCTGCAGCTTGGCTAACCCTGGCTTTCCAGCCACTCTCCCGAGAGGCCCCCAGCCATCGGACACTGCAGCTGGATCAGACCGCCTGTCCAGTCCCCTGCTTCTCGGGTCTGTGCTCTTGCTTGTGTGGGAGCGCAGGCGCTGCGGGGCCCACCTCAAGGGGCTGTTGCTCTGCTCTCCAAACAGGCCACTCCTTCACACACACAGCTACCAAAGACTTATGTTCTGTAGAGTCACAGGGTTATCTTCTCTTTTCTTGGTTAAATTACAGCCTTATCTTCATGCACGTTAAGCTCTTCTCCAGTAACTAGCACGATGCCCTCAGTGGAGATTTTGTAAATGGAAGGGAAGGCAATCTGTAAAACATTTCTGAATAATTCACTGACTGCCTGGGTCCTGAGGATAACTCATCCCTTTTCCTTGGTCCTCTAGGCAGCACCAAGGAGCCCCAGGGGACAGATTGAAAGGGGTGAGCCCTAAATCTACAGTGCTGGAGGCAGCAGGGACAGTGGCTCTGGCCTCCAGTGCTCAGCCCATCACAGGGGGCAACCATGCACTGCTGCTACCTCCTCAGGCCCCCAGGGGCCTCCAGGATGGCTGAGGCATACTGGGTGGCCCTAGCCATGCCTCTGGTGGCAGGGGCCTGGAAGCCAGGCCTGCTGTCAGTGAGCAAGCAGACTTTACCAGCATCTGTATATTCAGTGTCCGCACAGCGGCGAATGACCTCCCTCACAGCCCTATGACTAGGGGAGAGCCACGCCTGCAGGATCCTTTCACTAGAAAAGACAGCAGAACAGTACCAAAATTCTACTACTTGCCCAACTGAAGACGGATATCCTAGAGGCTGTGACAGACCATTTTCTTAGTTTTGTCATTTTAGGAAAATGCATCCCAAAAAGAATCCTCATTCTTCTAACTGGAGCAGTTCATACAGTGCTGAATGGGACTTGAATGAGACACGCCAAGGGCCACCGAGGTGGCTCAGCTGGTTGAGGGTCCGACTCAGGGTTGCCTCTCAGGTTATGATCTCAGGGCTCTGAGCTCAGTGGGTAGTCTGCTCAAGATTCTTTTCCTCCCTCTCCCTCTCCTCCACTTCCCCTGCTTGCATCTCTCTCTCCCTCCCTCTCACCCTCTCTCTAATGAATAAATACAATCTTGGAAAAGACACACAGAGAACTGTGGCAGCCCTCCCGCGTGCACACGGCGGTCTCACAGCAGCAGAACTGCAATGTGGGCACGCATTTACCAGACTGGCCGTGATCCCTGCAGGAACACACACTCACCCAGTAAGAAAAAGGAAAACAAAGTCTCCAACCATGAGCACAAGTTGTCAAATAAAACCACCAAGCCACTGCTTGATAGACCAATCCCTAAATCCGACATGGGCTAAAGAGAAGCTTCAGAAACGCAGTGGAACCACCTTCTGCCTCTCCCAGCTCGGATGCCAGAGAACAGAGGCAATACCTCCACATGCTCACAGAAGGAGCTTCTACCGAAGCCCAACACTCCTTCGCAGGTCACGCAGTTACCTCGCGCGCCTACTTTTTCCTTTTTTTAACAGCACTACTGAAATATAATTCATGCACCGCACGACTGATCCATTTATGGTACGCAGCGCACAGGTATGGGGGTATGGTCAGCGTAGCGCGACCAAAGCCACACATCAATTTTAGAACATGTTCATCAACCCCCCCGCCCAGGAAACCCCATATCCGCGAGCAGTCACTCTTCCCCCAGCCCCTTGAGCAAAGGCAACCCCCTACCTTTAAGGATTCTCCTGTTCTGAACATCTCACAGATGGAATCCCACGATATGGGGACTTTGGGGATGGCTTCTTTTAAGGCCCACCCACGCGGCAGCCATGTGCCTGCTTTTGTAATGACACACTCCTTGGTGCAGCCCGTGGCAGCGCGCATTGGTAACCGGGTCCTGACAGACGGTTCACACACTGCTATCAGAACCCCGATATTTGCCCCAGATCCGAGGCACTTTCTGAAGAGCTGACCTCTTCAAAACTCATAAATCCTGTTGCTAGTGAACCAACCAGTACAGCTGTAACAAGTAAACTCAGTAGAAAGCCATCTAGTACTTTTCACAAGTTAGGGAACATGTGAAAATTCTGTTTCTTCATCGATGTACAGACTGGTGTTCAATCTCACAAAATGTTACACCCCCTACATATGAACTTCCCAATTCCTGTCGGTTCTCAAACAGATTTAAATTTGCTTTCAAGTTTCACTTCCCCCGAGTGTTCAGACTCAAACATTTTCTCCCAGTTCTAGGGTAACTTCATCAGTAGCGGCACTGACATGCCACTGGACATGCTGGTGTCCGGTCAGGTGGGATCACATGGAAACTGAGACTCGACTGCACAGTTCTAAACTGAAGAGCCAAGTGTCAAACAAGGTCACAGGGCCGAGGGAGTCCCTTCAGCAGGTAATGTTTTGATGGACAGTCTGATAAGTAACAGTTTAGAACAAGATAATGCAACTCTTGGTCTGTTATCTCAGAATGACTCAGAGCTTAAATCAAGATATTTAAAGATCTGCACTTATTTTAACTTCAGTATACAGAACAGTGTGTTAGTTTTTTGCTTTGTTTTACTCCTGCTATTAACAAATTGCCACAAACTTAGTGGCTTAAGACCCAAATTTATGTCCTTACAGTTCTGGAGGTCAGAAGTCTGATACAGATCTCACTGGGCTAAAATCAAGACGTCAGCAGGGCCGTGGTCTTTTCTGGAAACTTTAGGGAAGAATACATTTCCTTGACCTCTCCAGCTTCTAGAAGCTGCCTGCATTCTTTGGCTCAGGGTCCCTCCTTCCATGCCCAAAGTCAGCAACGACCAGCTAATTCCTGTCACATTGCATTACTTTGACACTGACTCTCCTGCCTCCCTCTTCCACTTTTTTTTAAAGATACATTTCATTTTACTTTATTTTATCTTATTTTATTTATTTGATAGAGACAGTGAGAGAGGGAACACAAGTAGGGGGAGTGGGAGAGGGAGAAGCAGGCTCCCTGCTGAGTAGGAAGTCCCATGCAGGGCTCCATCCTAGGACCTTGGGTTCATGATCTGAGCCAAAGGCAGACACGTAACGACTGAGCCACCCAGACACCCCTTCCACTTTATTTTAAAGACTTTATTTAAGGGGCGCCTGGGTTGGTTGGTTAAGCAACTGCCCTTGGTTCAGGTCGTGATCCTGGAGTACCGGGATTGAGTCCCGCATGGGGCTCCCATCTCCACAAGGAGTCTGCTTCTCCCTCTAACCTTCTCGCATCTCATGCTCGCTCACACTGTCTCTCTCTCTCAAATAAATAAATAAAATCTTAAAAAAAAATAAAGACTTTATTTAAGAGAGACAGAGATAGGGACAGAGACAGCAAGAGGATAGCAGGGAGGAGGGAGAGAGGAGGTCACTGCTGAGCAGGGAGCCCAGTGCTAGGCTCAGACCTTGGGATCACGTCCTAAGCCAAAGGCAGACACCCAACCCAGTGAGCCACCCAGGCGCCCTTCCCTCTTCCACTTTTAAGTCCCTCATGACCACACTGGGCTGACCCAGACTGTATGGGATAATCTTCCCACCTAATGTCAGCCAATGAGCAACCTTCATTCCCCTTTGCCATGGTGCCCTAACATACTGACAGGTTCAGGGGTTAGGATGCAGCCATCTTTGGGAGGAGCCATTATTCTGCCTACCACAGACAGTATGCTTCCTTCATAAAAAAGGACAAATAGACCCCAGAGGTAGATTTATTAAGTGATTTAGAACACATTTTAGGTAATCTATCTACACATTGGATAATTGTAGACAATTGTGATCTGTTCAACACAAACATTGGATCTAACACATAGCTGTTACCCGGCCCAACCCAGAGTCCAGGAATAGATGTCGATATCGAAGACTGATATTAAAGATTGAAGATTTGATATCAGCCTTAGTATCCTGATGCAAACTAAGAAGTGAACTTCCCAATATGAATACTAAACACATTGTGGACTAAATGTGCACAGACACCAAAAGTCACTTTCTATTTGTGGACAGCTCAGCTTAGTCCTACCGTTGCAGGGGAAATCCTAACAATTTCCGGGGCTTGGGAATGTCTCACACAGATACAGACACACTTAAACTTTTCTTATACAGCGGGTCTTGAGGCAGTATTCTAAAACATTCCAGTTTTCCATGAGTAATATTTCACTTGAAACAGAAACCCAAACACAATGACTTTCTGTTGCTAAGAACATACCGGCTCTAGAAAGCAAAATT